CACGAACAGCTTTGTCGAAACCTGCGCTGTCAGAAGGTCTATTCCCGTCTGGGCAGTCGGACCGAATGAAAGCACAGCTGGCGCAGTCATTCGTTTATCCTGCAATTGTACTGGAATGGGTGGAGAATGACTTGGGCTATCTATTGCAATGCTCAGAACTAGCAAAGAACAACAATCAACAAGCCCATCGCATACGGTGGTGAAGTCAGAGCAAGGGAATTAGTCGCTCAATCTCCGAGATGATAGCTTCGTGGGACATCGTCCCGGACGGACCCCACAACTCCCCCAGCTTGGCCTCTTCCGCAGCCACCTCGGAATTATTGAACTGGTTATCAAGACCACAATGGTGTCGCAAGATATCGACCAGTTGCTCGATGTTTGTCCATCGATGTGCGCAGCCTTGGAGTACAGATCGGTATGCCGGATCCATGCGAAGCACAACTTTGGAGTTATAGACTCTGTGCGCAAATCGTTGGTTCCAGTCCTCCCAGATAGTCTGACCCTTTGGTGTCATGACAAGCTCTTCATTGTTGCCCTGGTACGGCTCGCGAAACGAAATTTCCATCACGACGTAGAAGAGCGACTCGATGTCGTGCCACCGTTCGTGGACGACACCGAGCGGCTCGTTCGGTTGAGCGAGGATCGAGCAGGCGAGGTAGGGCCAGGTGCCCTGTAAGAAGTCGTATAGTCCAAACGTTAGTGCTTGTCAAAAACTTCATTCGGGGAAACATACAGAGGGGAGGACGCACGGATCGTATTCTATGGTGCAGCTCGTTGCAAGGTCGATCATGCGGGACGGCGAGGTGATAATCGATGAGCGCGCCGACACCGTCGTGGTCGATGACGGCGTTACCGTACGAGATATCCCGGTGGATATACCCCAGCCTGTAGAGGTTTCGGTGTCCTGCATTGTCATGGGAAGGGGCGTGTCGGCTAGGGAGCGCAAACGCAACGCCGCCCAGTTGATCCCTGTGCTCACCTTTGACGACTCCAAGTACGGCCTGGGCGAGTTCCCTGGTCGTGGTCGCCGTGTTCAGGGGCCGATAACACTGTCGGTGGAAGACCACCTCCAGTGCCCGGGGCCCGATATCATCGAAGCTTTCATCATCACCAAGGAAAGTTGGAAGCGTGCGGAAGTCGTCCCGGTAGATGCCGGCGCTAAGGCTTAAACCCTCGGTGTCGATACGCGACGCAGCGTGCATGTTGCGACGTAGGGCAATCGCATCGTCGAGGCGGGATTGCTCAACCCATGCGACTGTCATGGCGTACTCGGTGGCAGGTGTAGGCAAGGTGATCGACGTGCGGTCGACAGGCGCGTGTCGCGCGGTGACGCGGAAAGCGGAGGTGGCGCGACCCAGGCAGCTTCGGCGACGGAAGAGGAGCTCCTGGATCTCGAGATCTGAGATATCGCCGAGCTCGGACTCGAAGTCGTGGGCGCGGGGTGGGAGAAACTTGTCCGAGACGACAAAACTGCCGAAACCGTCGTCGACCTCGTTCGTCGAGGCCAGCATCCCGAGCTCGTTGTCGTCGAGTTCGATGAGGTGTGACAGCACGCGCCGGAGCAGCACGGCTCCCTGACCGCACTCGCGGGCGCTCGTCGTGAACACCCCACACGCGTTGACGAGGTAGACTTGAAGCACGTCCCCGCAAAGGGTGACCCCGATCGCGTGGGCGCGGAGCGCGGTCGTGCAGATCATGTGTAGCCGCCTGATCACTTGGTTACGCGCTTCTGCGCTCCTCTTGTCGCTCTTCTTCACCTCAATCGCCACTGCAATCTGCGAGTATGCGCGTTGAGGCGACCGGGGCGTGCCTTCCATCGACGTTGGGTGCTCTGACTGCGCCCAAACGAACGGAAGATCGGGGGCAGCGGCCACCGCCGCATGCGTGAGGATGACGGCGTCGGGCGTGTTCTCCTGCTCCCCGCGATCGGGCGCCAGCTTGATGGGGCTACCCGAGTTGCCGCATCCGACCAGACGTCGATCACCAGTCTACACCCGGGTGCATCAATGATCGGGAGACAGTGGTCAGTCATACTCGTGCGGTCGAAGCCAAGCGATAGCACCGGGGCACTCACCACATCCTTGATCGCGTCAGCCATCTGTTTCATTGCAGCCTCCGTCCCCAGTTTCTCCGTCGGTTTGGGGATCTTGGCTTCGTAGGTGGAAGGCGTGTCAAAAAAATATGTGTCCATCGCCTTTGACTGTCGAGGTTTGCCCATATGGGCGAAGAGCTGTTGCTCCCTCGCTTCCGCCGTGGCCGTCATCGACACTGAGGGGCTCGACTTCATCGGGCTCGATTGTGTCGTAGCAACGCTGAGGTCCGACATGCCTGGTAGGCCTACGGCCTCACATGCACGACCGGCCCGTCCCGGTCGAGTGCTGTTGCGGTTGACTGGCCAGCGCGACGAGCTGGGCAGTTGGGTCGTGGCGGCTTGGGCGGGGGGGCGCGAGAGCAGACGTGCCAACCGACGGGCCTGGCGCGCCGTCTCTGGCGTTGACGCGCTCCGAAATGGGTTCCCCATTTCGGGCTTCGGGTATCGCTGGAGCTGAGGCACCGCAGACTTGAGGACTTGTAGACGTAGATAAGTTTATTGTAAATCTGTCCCGATCCCAACTGGTGTGTACATGCTTAATCTGTGCTAATATGGCATTGTGCTTTGAGTATACTCAATTACACTAGTTGTTGTGGCCTTGACGACTTTGGCGCGCGCGGTCCACTGCCCCTAGTCCTTGGGCCAGAACAAATGTTCAGACATGTCCGTCCACTTGATTTTAGGTACACATCTAGATCCGAACAATTATATGAGTAGAATCACTTTGAATCTGCAAGGAGAACATGTCCGTCCCTTGATTTTAGGTCCATAATATCAGATAATACTGATGCTGTTGAACAATTATATGAGTAGAACCACTTTGAGTCTGCAAGGAGAACATGATAGCATGGGTATTTTAGTACTCATGATGATTCGAAATTGTCATGTCCGTCCACTTGTCGATCGCGATTGTGGACTTGGCGTGGCGGGACAGACATGACTGGGAGGTGTCTGCACACAGCCAACCCACGCCGCTTCGCTCGCTCCCACGTGGTCTGTGACAGAGGACAAGTGGCTGTATAGATTAAACCTTGTTAATCCATCATTACATCAAAGAATTCCTAGAGATTATCCTCGAGCGGGGATTTTGCAAGTCAAGTGCCTTGTATAGTACTAGAAAACCATACCGTGGCAGGGGACGCCGATCGAGTGTTTTCGGCTTCGCCGACAGTGCTAACGGAGCCAAGTTTCTCTGGGCACTATCACTCTATCCCTGTACTAGTTCAAACGAAGAAAGAACCTTTTCACCGACCAAGAGTCATCAGATCAACGTCACAGAGCATTGCGATCATTGTTGAACTTGTTCGAACTTGTCCGCAGAGGACTCGAAATCTCGACCGCCAGAGCTTCTAAGTTTTCACCGACGATCTAACGGAAGGAACCTACTCTAAATCAGGATTCCCGCCGTTCGAGACCATTTGAAAGCCTAATCGCTTTCACGGCATTACGGTCTGCAAGAGATTGCCGGATGCGCTTCCAGGACACGCGAGTCGGCCGCCGCGTGACTGAGCCCGAGTACCATCGCGCAATGATCTCGCTCGTCAATGGATCAACGATCTGCTCCCGGCTACAATGTCTTCCTCAGATCTCCCAACGCAGCTCGTCTACATTTCGAGAGCAGCCTGTGAGTCAAGAAGTGACGATTGTACAAGCGTGCGCGGTGGCCTTAAAGGATCGACCTTTTCGCAGGGGACGCCGGCCTCGGCCCGTCGTTGAACGACCTACGCGCTGACGTGCCACTTCAGGGTTACATTTTGGATTAGGACACCGCACCCCCCAAATCCACACTGAGAGTAAAAGGTGGCAGTGCAAGGTGAAGCTCCTGTGCACAAGGGTGAAGACCGTGACCGCGGTTGCCGGACGCTGGAACTTGAAGGCGACACGGGTCAAAATCGCAGTGTGCAGCATGAAACTCCAGTGCACTGAGAATCTTCTGTTGTTCGACGCCGGAAGCCGACACGGGGTCGAAGTCGCAGTGCAGCATGAAACTCCGGTGCACCATGAATTGGCAGTGCAGCGTGAAATTCCGTGCACCGAGTAACGCTGAGCCCAGAGCGCTGAACCGAGATCGGATCCGAAACGAGATTCCCATTCGGAAATCGTCGGAGATCGTCGGGCTGGCGGCGTGGCGTGGGGCGGTAGACTTGCAGTGCTTTGGGTGCAGGTCAGATGGAAGCGGTCTCTTCTTGCCGGCTCTGTAGAAGAAATGTCTCGCCCACTCGTCTGTGAATACTACACAAACCGCTCAGCATCTCGGAGAAACTCGACAAGAATCGTACTCGGGCTGTAGGTCGATTTTAATGGTCCACAAAATGCAGAAATGCTCGTACATGACGTCTGATCGGGACGACAGCACGACGGGAAGCTGCCGCCGACTCAACAGCATGCTGGTACATTCACCACAGGGCCGCAATACATTCAAAAACAACGATTTTAGGTACATCGCTTTGGGATCTGGCGCGCTTGATTAGCTGAATGGCTCGACTTCACGTTCGCGCGCGCCAACGCTCCTTTCCCTCTCCCCACTCACTCACACCACTCGCCCCCTCGCCCAGTTGACCCGACTCGGCTCTGATCCCACTACACCACACCTCTACGAAACAACGCTATCTCTACATCACTCGTTCGGCAAGATGCAACTCGACCTCTCTCAACTACAGCCCAACGTGTCACCTCAACCCGACTGATGCGGGCACGGTACGACGTCGCACAACACAACTACCAACCACGCCAACATGATCATTTTTGGCCCGATACGACTTGCACCTCCACCTGAAAGGGCGTGATCACTTTCAGCTGCGTCCTAACTACGTCGATGCATCGCTCGAGCGTCCTCGATCGCACACGTGCTCGGTCACCCAATCGCCTCGATCGCCCCGTTCGCCCTCTCGCTACTCGACCGATGGGTATGGTGAGCCCTGCATTCGGATAGTCCTCAGCTCTCGTTCCAGTCGCTCACCTTATGTTTATCTTAGCTGCTCATCACTCTAGTTCAGATCGCGCGTTGGCCGACTCGCTGGCATCCGAGCCTCGCACCGAACCACTCTGTGACTTGTTCGACCATACTCTGCACATCCCTCCCTCATCAGCACCATCGAAAGATCACCGCCCTTCCTGTGGTCTCGAATCGATGCATATGTCACTCGACCCACATCGCCGCGCCCCGAACACCACTATCGACCGGTGACGATCTCCTCCGCCACCCCCACATCGTTCACTCGTTCACTCTCGTCGACAACATTGACCGATCGCACGAGTGCAATCACTCGCTGTCACATGTCTTTCTTCGAATCGAAAAGTCTCATCGACGCGGGAAGCTCTCGGAATCTGTTGGAACATGTGTTGCACGACTCGGCGAACACTTGCTCGATGCCCGTTCGAAGCTTTGCACCCGTCATCGACCTTCGGTCCGATCCACCGTTCGACCGACCGAACTGACAAACCTCTTCTGCCCGGTCTCCTCCTGTCTACGCCCATCCCATCACCAACACGTGCGAAGTAACAATCCGTTCGCCCCTCGCAATGGCCGCCTCGACCGCCTCGACCGTCGACCTTCCACTCGATCGACATGGACTTACGGTCATTAACTGACCTGACCTACTCATCATGAGCGCCGACCCCACGATCGCCCCATTCTCGAATCCTATGGCAATTCACCTATCGATACGATTCACCTCACCTCATCTTGTTCTGTGTCGCCGTACCCAGCTCGACACTATCCCGTGATCTTCGCATCCACACCGACGGGTCAGCTCGATCAATCAGGACCCCAGTCTGGTATGCTCTCCTCTCCAACCCGGGTCTCCATCGTCTCGAGTCCCTTCAATACTGACGCTTTTACAAACAGTCATCTGTGTTTCACAGTATTGCCCCGACATTTTTGGCGCGCCAGATCCGACTCGCACGTCGCCCATCCTCAGCTTCGCACCGACTTGCTCAAACATCGCCCCCACCCGATTCCACGAGCTTGTGATCCGATACTGCCATCGCCAATAGAAGTTCTCCCAGCCCGACGTCCGTCATTTCCTTGGGATCAGCTTGACTCTTCGGCGCTTTTTCCGGCTGGCTCGGCACTCGAGCCACTTTATCGAGCCACTTTGTCCCGACTCGAACCGTTCGGCACTCCGATGATGAGCTGGACCCGTCCATCTCTCAGGCAACTTGGTCTGGCCATATCCGAAGGACAATCAAGCATCAACTGACATGTGTCCGCCTCAATGTGCCCACCTTGCCCGAATCACCACTCCAACTTGTTTGGTCAACTCGAGCTTTACCTCGACAATACTTCGAACATCGACAGCCCTTCCTTTCTGACAGCCGTCACGACCGGACCACGTGCTCGACCACCGACGACGGGCTCAGAACGCCCACAGTGAGCTGTTTCGATCTGAGCTCTCGCTTGCGACTTGCAACCCTTGCTGATGAGACGAAGATATGCCGTGTCACTGCGCAGTGTAGATTGTTGGTCACGGACAACCCGGAATGGGAGCGATCCCTCGAATGGAGCTTCGCTCGCACGCCCTACAGTTGCAAATCATCCTCCCTCAATACCTCTCGCGACCAGTCTCAAGCACGATTGCGTCGATGTCGAGATGGGAGACCCGCAGTGCCTCAAGCACTATCACCCCGTCTCGACCCCGCCGCGACTCACTTAATCGCCCGCCCTCGTGATCCGGCTCGTCGAGTCATCCGTCCAAAACCACAGAGCGCTACGTTTCACCTCATGGCACCTCAACATCCCACATGCCCGCTCGTCTTCCTTGCCGTTTAATTCGACCGGACTTGCACACTGACTCGCAGTCTCGCCGATCGCTCCGACCGATCGACGACCCGGCAAAGCTCTCGAGATTTGCCACACAACACCACCTCATCGCTTCATCTTACTCAAACTCCATCCTACGGCGCGCACGTTGAATCATACAGTCACGACTCGGGCTTCTCCACACCATTTGGCGTTGGACCGTGACGATCTTTCGCACTCTCAATCGATCTCGGCGATTCGTTTGACCAGCTTGATACGTGTGATCACCAGCCCACCTCGGCGACTTGCACGTTCGTACATGCTTCATCAACTTTGGACATGCGGTCATGGACTGCGCTCAACGACGCACGGTGTTCCATCCCTTCTCGCTTCGCTTCCTCTTGCACTCAACTCACCTCGCTTGGTGTCGACACACTCGTTTGGCATTTACTAATCGAGCACACGTCCGAAAAGTCAGTGCGAGCCTTCAAACTGAAAGCCTTCCCTACCTCCACACCTCGAAGTGTGTGTACTCTTGCTCATGTTGGACTTTTCATTTGCTCCACCAGGTCTCAGATTTCTGCCTGCGCTCGACTTTTTTGACTCCGACTCGCTCGCAACCGTTTCCAGTACGTCTCCCGGATAAATAAGTGTTCACTCTTTCCAATTGGGGATCGACACTGTTCTGGAAAAATTGGCTTTGCTCGACCTCGATCTCCTCTCCCTCGGCCCTGACCTCAAAACTCAACTCGTGCGACAGATAACTCGTCGAGGAGCGTGCAAGCTCTCATCTTTGGCGCTGCTGCCTCCGCCACCCAAGACTCGACATTCACCGATCGCTCGCACCACTCGACTCGACTCGTCTTTTTCTCTCAGTGCACAAACACACGACGACGCAACGTCTTGCCGTCACGTTGAAACGTCACTTGCCTGGTATGAGCGGATCGACCTTACTCGACCCGGCACTTGACGGGTCACCTGGAGCCGGCTGAGGCAAGCGTCGACGCGCCCTTCAGCAACTGCAACACCCTCATCATCACCAATCGGCCTTCAACGACTCGATACCGAGCTCCAAGGTACCTACATTTGCGTCCGGGCTATGTCAATTGCTCACTTGAGCCATCGCGACCGGAACTGCTCCATCTCCGACGACTCGCTCAGACCGCCCACAGTGAGCCGTTTCGATCTGAGCCCTCGCTTGCGACTTGCACTCCTTGCTGATGAGATCGAGATATGCCGTGTCACCGCGCAATGCAGATTGACGGTCACGGACGACCTGGAAAGGGAGCGCTCCCTCGAGTGGAGCTTTGCGCCGATTCGCTCACCAGCTCACTCAGCCCACATCCGAGTTCATGCATTACCATCTCTTGGTTTCTCTTGCGACAAGGTCCCAGCACGCGGACTAGCTTCGGCCTTCTCGCCACTGAAGATCCGCCGGAGATCTTTGTTCGCCCAGCAGCTTTGGACCTGCTGTGAGCGAATTGTTCCCTCGCCCTCCCTCGTCAAGGCATCCCATACCGTCTACGTTTCATCCCATGGGACCCCAACATCCCACATTACCGCTCGTCTCCTTGCCGTTCAAGTTGACCGGACTTGCACGCTGACTTTCAACCTCGTCGATCGCTCCGACCGATCGACTTCAAGGCAAAGCTCCCGAGATGTGCCACGGAACACCTCCTCACTGCTTCACACCTTTACGGTTCAACGTGCCCAACGTCATATGGAGTCCGATTCAGATGTGAAGCAATGAGGAGGTGTTCCGTGAAACATCTCGGGAGATTTGCCACTCGGGCTTCTCCACACCACTCGGCGCTTGCTTTTGGCGGTGGACCGTGACGATCCTTCGCACTCTCAATCAACCTCGGCGATTCGACCAGCTTGTTCGGTGCGATCACCATCCCACCTCTCCGACGTGCACGTTCGTACACGTTTCATCAACCCTGGACATGCGGTCATGGACTGCGCTCAGCGACGCACGGTGTTCCATCTCCCCTCGCTTCGCTTCTTCATGCATTCACCTCGCTTGGTGTTGACAAACTCGTTTGGCATTTACTAAGCGAGCACACGTCCGAAAGGTCAGTGCGTGCCATCAACTTAAGGGCTTCCCCTTCCTCCACACCTTGTGTTGCAAGTAGGTGCAATCTTGCTTATGTTTGACTTTTATTTCGCTCTCAGATTCCAGCCTGCGCCTAGCTCGACTCGACTCTTTAAACTCCAACTCGCTCGAATCCGTTTTTGGCTCTCACGAATGAATGATTGTCGACTCTTTTCAATTGAGGATCGATACTTTTCCGGCGAAGCTTGCTTTGCTCGACCTCGATCTCCTCTCGATCGACCCTGACCTCAAAACTCAACTCGGTGCGATAGATCGCTCGTCGAGGAGCGTACAAGTTCTTATCCTTGCCGCTGCTGCCTCCGCCACCCACGACTCGTTATTAGCCGATCTCTCGCACCACTCGACACGACTCGTCTTTTCTCTCACTGCGCGAAGACAGACGAAGCACCACCTTGCCGTCATGGTGAAGCATCACTTGCTCGGTACATGCGGCTCGACCTTGCTCGACCCGGCACTTGACGTGTCACCCGGAGACGGCTGAGGCAAGCATGGAACCCATTCAGCAACTGCCACACCTTCACCATCACCAATCGGAACGATTTGACGACGAACTCGAAGGTGTACGTCCGGGCTATGTCGATTGCTCACTTGAGCCATCGCGACCGGAACTGCTCGACCTCCGACGACTCGCTCAGACCGCCTACAGTAAGCCGTTTCGATCTGAGCCCTCGCTTGCGACTTGCACTCCTTGCTGATGAGATCGAGATATGCCGTGTCACCGCGTACTGCAGGTCGTTGGCCACGGACAACCCGGAAAGGGAGCGCTTCCTCGAATGGAGCTTCCCTCGCACGCCCTACATTCGAGTTGCAAATCACCCTTCCTCGATACATCCCATGACGAGTCTCAAGCATGATTGCGTCGAGATGGGAGATCCGCATTGCCTCAAGCAGTATCACCCCATGTCGGCTGTCCCGCGAATCACTCACCTGCCCGCCCTCGTGATCCAGCTCGTCGAGTCATCCGTCCGAAATCACAGAGCGTCTACGTTTCACCCATTGCACCTCAACATCCCACATTCCCGCTCGTCTCCTTGCTCTTCAAGTTTACCGGACTTGCACACCGATCTTCCACCTCCGATGGGACCGACCAATCGACTTTCCGGCAAAGCCCTCGAGATTTGCCACGGCACACCACCTCGTTCCATCACCTTTTCCTCGAAGGCCCAGCTTACTCGAAGACCATCCTCCGTTGTGTACGGTGAGCCATACCGTCAGGACTCGGGCTTCTCCGGACCACTCGGCGCTCGAATCAGTCTTCGGAGCGTGACGTTGACGATCCTTCGCACTCTCAATCGACCTCGGCGATTCGCTCGACCAGCTTGTTGCGTACAATCACCATCCCAACTCTGCGACATGCATGTTCGTACAGACTCTGGTCATTCGGTCGTGGACAGCGCTCAGCGACGCACAGTGCTCCATCCCCTCTCGCCTCGCTTGTTCATGCATTCACCTCGCATGTGTCGACGAAGTCGTTTGGCAGTCACTAAGCGCTCAAACGTCCGCAAGGTCAGTGCACACCTTCAACATGAAATGCTTTCTTTCCTCCACACCTCGTGTTGCAAGTGTGTGCACTATTGCTCATGTTTGACGGTTGAATCACTCCACGAGGCCTTAGTTTCCCAACTGCGCTCAGTTCGACTCTTTGGACTCGGAACCGCTCGCAACCGTTTCCAGTCCGTCTCCCAGAAGAATGGCCGTCGCCTCTCCACTTGAGGTTCCAGACGCTTTTGGCGGGACTTGCTCTGCTCGACTTTGATCTCCTCACCATCGGCCCCGACCTCAAAACTCACCTCGGTGCGACAGATCGCTCGTCGATGAGCATGCAAGCTCTCATCTTTGCCGCTGCTGCCTTGGCCACCCAAGACTCGATATGTGCCGATGTCCTGTGCGAGGTGGCTTCTCCAACCATCCGAACTCTTGTGGGTGACCTAGCGCCCTGCCCGCTCGCCTCGAGATTGAGAACGAAGGACCACCTCGACTCTTTGCCCAACCGCTCGAGCGATGTTTTCTCCTTTCCCTGCTTTTCGATGTGCAAATATTTCCGTATGTGCGCCTTGATGCAATACCATGTGGCCTTTGAGCTCATATGTGCGTGTTTGAGAACCTTCGGATCTTCTTGCCGGAGTTTCCTGCGGCCTCCGATGTGGTGCTTCCAGGAAGGACCCGAATGGAATGTGCTTGTATCGAGTCCAGCACCAGAACTGGACTTCTGACTGTTGAACGCAATCGGAACTGGATATCTGAGTACGTTGCAGTGACCTCTGCGGAGTCACTGGATCGATTGTTCTCCTCGCTCACGCCGACCGAGCTGATGGCATGCCGGCGTGGTTCATTTAGAGTTGGCTTAGACCCAATGATTGCATCCCTAGCTCTCTTCTATAGGCTCTTTCCAACTGTAGAAGTTGAATCGTGTGTGTAGGGGAGCTGCTTGCGGCGGTATGCCGTGATTCGACCCAATTCATTCCTCAGCTTTCACGTAACGCCGAATCTCTGCGGCCCGCATCCGTCACCGACGATCACGACTGAAAGTATGCGTTGACGCCGCAAAGCACAACATCGCTTCGTCGATCCAGGTGGAGAGCAGGGTTAGGGTTAGGGTTAGGGTTAG